AATAGTAAATTCTCCTGAGAGAGAGACAAAATATCCCTCCTCCCCTTTGAAATGTTATGTCAGTGCTTTCACAGCTACGTGTGTAATGGCCTTGTAAGGGTGAAGTCTGTTTTTGTGAGTTTGTAAGTGTGTGTGTGTCGGCTGTGTTGAAAGGACACAAACAATCTGCTGTGTTATGACATAAACACTACTCGTGTTTGCAATGTATGGTAACCTGTTTCCGTCTCTCCTCACCTCTCTTCCTGTCTCACAGATGAACTCTTTGAATGTGAATTGCTCAGAAGACATAAAGCCTCCACCAGGATTGGCTCCGCTGGGCAACATGAGCAGCTACCAGTGCAGTAGCCCTGGATCCCTCTCCAAACACATCTGTGCCATTTGTGGAGACCGATCCTCAGGTACAACTCACAGAGATGTTTGGATGTTGCTTTTGGTTTTGGTTTGGAAGTTAATGCAAGATATATCTCCATCTCTTCTGGGGTTCATGTCAAATGCGGTTGTGTTTGCAGGGAAGCACTATGGTGTTTATAGTTGTGAAGGTTGCAAAGGCTTCTTTAAGAGGACCATCCGAAAAGACCTGACCTACACGTGTCGAGAAAACAAAGAGTGCCTGATCGACAAACGTCAGCGCAACCGCTGTCAATACTGCCGCTACCAGAAGTGCCTAGCCATGGGCATGAAGCGGGAAGGTTTGTGTTTGCTCCATAAATATTTGAAGTTTGAGCACTTAAAGACACTGAGGGTAGGCATTTTGGAAATTTTTGGTTGCAGTTTATTTTACAGTCCTATAAATATTAATAATATACTAATTACAATAACTAGGTACTACTAACCCTAAACCTTACCTTAACCCATGTAGTTATATGATATTACACTGTAAGTACACATACTGCAAATTAAAGTGCAACTGAGATTTTAATATTATGATTTATTATATTATATATTAATGGTAGTATTTCTATCATAACCTTATATGACCGCTTTATAATAGATGATATTATATTCATATAATAAATGTGTTTTTTTTAATGAAGTGAAATCTATTTTAATATAGCACAGTTAAATAAAGGTTATAGGTGCACTATAAACTGTATAGTCCTAAAAAAAAAATCAAATGTATGATAATTCTTAATTACGCTGATTTTGAATGTTCTCATTTACTCTGCTCTGCTTGACCTCTTTGATTCTCCACAGCGGTTCAGGAAGAGAGGCAGCGTGGGAAGGAGAAAAGTGATAATGAGGTGGAATCAACGAGCAGTTTTAATGAAGAAATGCCTGTGGATAAGATTCTGGATGCAGAGCTTGCAGTCGAACCCAAGACTGAGACATACACAGAGAGCAGCCCTGGCAACTCTGTAAGACATTTGGTCAATTACAATTTGCACAATACATATCTGCTGTCTTTAGCCTTAGGGGAAAAAAAGGTAAATTACTTTCTTTCTCTTTCACTTTACATCTTCGGGCCTCCCTCCTCAGACAAATGACCCAGTCACTAATATCTGCCATGCAGCTGACAAACAACTATTCACTCTGGTGGAGTGGGCCAAGAGAATACCTAATTTCTCCGATCTGCCTCTGGATGATCAAGTCATTCTGCTTCGAGCAGGTGTGTAACACTCTCACAGATACTGACGAGGATACTGAAGTTACTGTTTACAAACAAGCTGAAAATCACATGTAAAACCACCTGCAGTGTGTTTTTGTATTATTTATATACTATTATAGTATTTATTAATATTTTGAATTAGCTTTTTTTTATATATTATCAGTTTTCACTTTAGTTTTAGTATTTTTGTTGTGTGCTTTTATCATTTTTATTACTATTTTTTTTAATATGTCTATACAGCTATCATTTTTATTTCATTTTTAGTCATTTTAGTACTTCAACTTAATTGCAAATGTAGTAGTTTTAATTTTTGTATTTTAAGTTTAGGTTATTCATCTAATATTTACATTTTGTTTTATTTCAATTGTCCAAAGTCACTCCAGATCAAAGGGTCAGACAGAACTGTGTTGTTTGTGTAAGCGGGAATGCTGACCTCTGCTGGACAAACATGTCACATGCACTCATAAAATAGTTATTGCGAATGAAGAGCACTGTTTTGAGTTCATGAAGACAGAGGGAGATATAGAAATGATTTCCCTGCTATTTGTGTTATTTTTCTCCTTCAGGATGGAACGAGCTCCTCATTGCTTCATTCTCTCATCGTTCAATCACGGTTAAAGATGGCATCTTGCTGGGCACAGGTCTTCATGTCCACAGGAGCAGTGCTCACAGTGCAGGTGTGGGATCCATCTTCAACAGGTGAGGATCTTGTTTGTTTAGAGAAAAATCAGAAAATCTGTAGTATTTATTTTATTACACCTACTGTGTGTGTGTGACAGGGTACTGACTGAACTGGTGTCTAAAATGAAGGATATGCAGATGGATAAGACAGAACTAGGCTGCCTGAGAGCCATCGTCCTCTTCAACCCTGGTGTGTTGCTCATTGCCATCTATATACACTTGTCTGCCGCATAGATAAAATAAGTAATTTTATTTCATTTCAAGTTCTATAATATATAATACAATATAAAATATAGTCTAATCAATTTGAAGGGATATTTCACCTAAAATTATATTAAATTATAGTATATTACTCATAATATAATACAATTTTTGGTAAAATATTCCTTTAACTTTATTATATTATTTTATATAAAATATTTAAGTTAAAGGGTAAGTTATATAATATATATTTTTAGGTGAAATATCCCTTGAACTTTATTATATTATATATTATATTATATTATATTTTATAATATTATATAATATTCTCAAGGTAAAGGGTTTCTTTCTTTTGTGGAACTCAAAAATACTGTTTTTTTTTTCCCATGTGATTACAGTGAATGGGAACTTTAAAGGGATATTTCACTTTGAAATTAATTTTTGGTATGTTTTAGCTTACCTCGAGGGCATCCAAGATGTAGCTGTCTTTGTTTCTGCAGTAGTATCAATTTTGATATTTTTAGGTCAAACCGTTGTTGTCTATCAGTCATATAATGCAGGTCTATGGTCACCACCTCAAAGATCATGCACAGAGAAGTCCAAATTAAACATGATTCAATGACACGTAAATGTAAGTACACATTGATGGCCTAAGATATGAAACGAGCGGTTTGTGTGAGAAAACAAACAGTATTTATATTGTTTTACCTCTTGTAACCACAGCCATGTCCAAGATGTCTGAGAGTGTGGGCACTTCAGTCTGCCCAAGCGCCGGAAAAATTAAACACCAAACATTAACACCAAACACCAAAATGTAAAAATTTAACACCAAAAATTAATTTCAAAGTGAACTATCCCTTTAATAAATTAAGATGTAATGACATTTGTGAGATATTGATAGACACGAATCAATCATGCAAATTGCCTCGTCTTATAGATGCTAAAGGCTTGTCCAACCCAGTGGAGGTGGAGGCACTGAGGGAGAAAGTTTACGCCTCACTGGAGACCTACACTAAACACAAATACCCTGACCAGCCTGGCAGGTACAGCCCTACACATGTTTGTTCAGTAAATACTGATCGTATCAATTGCTCATTCTTAATATTATCTGCTATCTTCTCTCACTGCCTAACAGGTTTGCTAAACTTTTGTTGCGTCTGCCTGCCCTTCGATCCATCGGGCTCAAGTGTTTGGAGCACCTATTTTTCTTCAAGCTGATTGGAGACACACCCATAGACACTTTCCTAATGGAGATGCTCGAAGCACCTCATCAGATCACGTGACACGAGTTCCAATGGACCATTTTTTGTACATATTATTATGTAACTAATATAATAACGAACTTGATCGAAGATATTGCAGTACGCTGCATATTTTATACCAAGCACAAATTATTATTATTATTATTATTATTTTATTTGCAGGGGAAACAGAGTAATTTTATTGGTGTTGTATTGAAAAGAAATGTTTCTGTAAATAGATAATATCAGGTGTACATTGTGGCAAGACAATGCAATAAAGAAATTATATTTTATTCAAGGAATATGTTTATCAAACCCAGACAATAATTTTTAAAATGAAGTTTAGAATTCTGTCCAAATAAATATTTAAATGCTTTGTCCTACTTTTTTCTTTTCTTTTCCTTTTTTTTTTTGAATAAAAAACGATCAAGTTGTCATTTTCAATCAACCCGATTTTACTGAAGCATCTAACCTTTTTTCCCCATGCAGAACCAAAAGCCTTTAAAGAGCATAAATTGCAGCAAAACACTCTCATTAACATTATCTGGTTGAGTGAGCGCCGCCCGCTAGATGGCGCCATTTAACGATACAAATCATAATTTAACTTTCAATTTATAACACGTGACTGTTGTGGCTTCCTCATTTTAAGTGCGCAAATGCTGTGTTTGCTAATCCATTTTAAACTGTCAAATGGGAACGCATATAGTGGGAAAGTATAGCATGTAAGATTACTTAACAAAAAAAAAAAAATCTTAGAATGAATTTCTAAAAAAAAATAGCTCCATATGTCAAATGCATTGCATTTATATCCTTTAGATTAGTTCACATATTTTTGACTCGGAGCTGAATTAATTTAACATTCTTCAGGGCATGTTTGAACCATCACGTTCCTATATATAGGCTAAGAATATACAGTATACTTTAAAAATCATTTAATACAGCCTACATTTTCAATAAGTGATACTTCCATAGTATGTAGTCTAGCATGTTTCTTTTTAAGTAGGCCTAATTGATATTGGTAGTCTGGTTCAAAATTCACGCTTGCTTTATTTCTTGCTTGAGGGAGATTCATTTACCCACCTATTTAAATTAAATTGCACACTCCCTTTATAAATTCACTTTTTTCATATAATATAGCCATTTTCATTATAAGTTGTAAAGTTATGGCTGTACACTTACTGCGCACCCTCCACCTTTTGATGGGAGGAGAGAGAGAGAGAGAGAGAGAGAGAGAGAGAGAGGTAAACTGACTCTCAGGTTTATTTTCATATGGAGGTTTTGTGCGCGTTTACAACTATCTAACTATCTTCATCTGTCGAAAGTTGCAGGGTTGCAAACGGATAGTCTCTCCTCAATGGTAAGTGCATGTAAATGTCTAATAAGTTATTGCATCTCTTTTAAAGTTTTTGTGAAGTTTTGTCATGTAGCCTATAGAAGCCGTTCTGTTGTTAAACAAAAATGGTAAAATATAGCCTATGCTATACAGTAATTCATGCTAGAGCCTATAGGCCTACATAATTGTGATTTCGCTCAGTTAAAATATAAACATTTTTATGTCTGAAATGAATAATCTTAATAGACATTGGAAATTATTATGTTTAACGAGACACACCATCAAATCACATCTGTTCACTGTATTTCTGTTATTGTTTTTTTTATAGCCTAAAGCTCATAAGTGAATTCACTTTATTTTTTTATTTTACTTATTACGTTTTCTTGGGATAACCTAAAAGGATGGCATTTGTCATATCAGTTTCAAAACCATATCGCATGTTATAGGGTACCATTAAGTTCCTACATTTTTTAATTAGCTTAAGTCACCTAGATGGATTAAAGGTTGGTGTTTCTTCCAGACATGTGGAGAAAGAGCGTGTGTGAGGGGTGTAATGAACTCATTCGGGACAGGTACATGCTCCGCGTGCAGGACGGGCTGTGGCACGAGCGCTGCCTGCACTGCGCATCATGTCGCGAGCCTCTGAAAGACACCTGCTTCCTCCGAAATAAGACACTCTACTGCAAGCGAGACTACCAGAAGTAAGACTCTAATTACTGCTATTTGTGTTAACAATTATTTCGTTTTATGATACTATGTGACTATTTACATTTCAATAAGAAAAGGCTGAAGTGAGTTCACGGTAGTCAGAAGTTTCTTCAAATCAGACGAAGCACACTCGTAACCTAGTTTTTTTTTTTTGCATACATTTCTTTACTGTTGATTTTTTTATGAATTACTTTTATTTATTTGCTCATTTAAAACATTTGTTACTGTCTTTAGAAAACCAAAACAATTTGATTGCATGTGAGAAATATTCCGTCTTTCCTTGTTGACATAAAATTACTAAATTCGTCATATAAAATTGCCATAGTTTTCTAGGAATACATGTGAAATTACAGTGATTTTTTTTACCTTTGTAAAGATTTAAGGCTTACAATAAATAGCCTGCACTTTATTCTGAATTAAGTTAATAAACCAAGTTTAGCTTAAAAATATTTTGATCATATAGCTACTTAATTCACTTCATACAAAAATTCCTTTCATTATTCTCGAAAGAACATTTTAAAGATTAATCTGCACAGAAATAATGCCAAATTAAGGTTTGAGTATCTGAACATCCTCCAGGAATGACAGTAAATAATTGAATTTCCATTCCTGTTTACTTCACAGATGGCATTGGTGTTTATTCTATTGATTATGGATGTTGGCTGGTTTAATTCTTGCCGTTAAATTAAGTTTGACAAGGCAACTTTGTGCCTAAAATACAATTTTAGTATTATTTTTACATTATATTTAACAAATATCATTACATGTTAAATCTGCATGCTTGCTGATATAATATTTTGCAGCCAGCACATAATTGTTTACCGATTTACATTAATAGTAAACCTTATGATGAGTGTTGGTGTTTTGTGTGCGTGTCTGAGAGAGACCGTGCGTATTGAGGGACTTGGCACAGAACTCCTGAAAGACAAGGTGACTGCAGGAGGAAGGGTCGCGGTGGGCCATGGAATGCGAGAAGGCTTTCACACACAAACACACACCATTAGATCAGGAGGACAGCACTACTGACACATTGTCAAGATGTGTTAAATTAGCAGGACCCATCGGTGTGGCAACGGCAAGCTGGGGACAGCATATGGCCACATCGACATGGTGCGCAGACCCCCTACTACCCCTAAATCTCACTCTGAGTCTCATTCACACACTCCTATGCACATTCACCTCCAAATAAATAAATAAAAAACGTTTGCCAAATGACAGAGCGTGATGACCCTGAAAAAAAAACAGAGTTTTTTTTAGTTTTCATAAAGTTTAATTTCAATAGCTGATGTATCTGCTCCAGCTGACAAAACGTTTGAGTTTCCAACAGAAAGGCTCTGACGTCTGCAAATCATAATGCATTTCACATTAGGAGTCCATCAGCCAAAGTAATAATTACGGAGAAGTGTCCAGTGTGAGTGGAGGATTGAGCCATATGTTCTGGGTACAGCAGAGCTTTGTGCAAGAGAATAATATGAGTGTGTTTGTGTGTTCATGTTGGGGAGGGGTTGCATGTAGCGGCGATTTCGGTTTGTGAAGTATGTCAAGGCATCTGGATAGGTAGGTTGGTGCCCAGTGGTGCCCCTGCTTGATGCCCGTCCGACCGTGAGATATCCGACCTGACCAATTAGCCACATACGCAGTGCTTGGCTGGCAATCCTACCCAGTAGCCCAGTGCTTATAACTATAGGCTCAGGGGTGGGGAGCTCGCTGACCCAGCACTTACTGACCAGGTAAAGGAGCTGCTTTACTGTAAATGGGTCAGTAGATACTTCATCGTTCAACATTTACACTATCGTTCAAAAGTTTGGGGTCAGTGAAATATTTTTAATATATTTGAAAAAAAAAGTCTCTTATGCTCACCAAGGCTGCATTTGTTTGTTCAAAAATAAAGTAAAAACAGTAATGTTTTTACAATTTAAAGTAACTGAATATATTTTAAAATGTAATTTATTCCTGTTGGCAAAGCTGAATTTTCAGCATCATTTCTCCAGTCTTCATGATCATTCATCATGCTTTTTTTGATGCTCAAGAAACATTTCTTATTATTATCAAAGCTAAAAACAGTTATGCTATACTTAAAATTTTTGTTAGCGTTATTTTTTTTTCTAAATTTTTCAATTAATAGAACTTTCAAAAGAAAAGCATTTATTTATAATATAAATTTTGTTTAACAATGTGAAAAGCTTTACTTTTGATCAATTTAACGTCTTAATACATTTATAATTCTAACATTTGCAAAAATATGCAAATAACTTCTGTCAAGCATATCATCTGGTTTCACTTACAAATGTGTTTTTCACCTACAGTTTTGATTGGTTTTACATTTGAAGTACTGTAAATTATTGTAATAATGGGCGTTTTATAAATATTTATGCTAATGCTAAATTACAAATGGAGAGTTCAGATGCAAACGCCTCTAAGTGCCATTTGAAATTTTCTTCTAGAATGATAATTTTTTATCAAGCTTAATATTTAAGTTCAGTAATTTCACTTACATGACAATTAGGTAATCATTGCCATTTAAGTGAAATTATTGAAACTTACAAGCTTGATAAAAATTATCATTCTAGAAAAAAATTTCAAATGGCACTTAGAGGCTTTTGCATCTGAACTCTTCATATATTATGATTATGATGAACACATTTCTAGTTTGTTGTGTAAAAGAATCAGGTTGCACAAATAATCAACATTTTTAAAGCAAGCTGCTTCCTGAATAAAAAGTGATAGTTTTTATCTTGTCAATGCAACTTTTAAATAGCTCTATATCTAAATACATCTTGAAGCATGCTGTCATATTGCTGCTTCCAATGATAATGCACAAACATGCCCTTGACATATTCTGCTGTGCATTCACACACTACAGATGCTCTTGCGTATAATGGAGTAGCGAGCAACACATATTTTTTGTCTCTCCTACTGAACCCTAAAGAACTCACAGCAGTTTCCCCAGCAACCCCAGGGCAACACTAATAGTTCTCAACAATGCAAGGCTTTGAGATGTTCCAATCCATACTTACGAAGGAGGAGGAATTTTAGCTGTCTGTAGGCTTCTTGAACACTGCAATGTTCCCATGCCACCTTAGATAGACATATAAACAACATCACCCACTGATCAATAGCCAAAAGCCTATTGGTACAAATTGTAGCAACACAGTTATCTTTAATGCATCAACATACAGTAATCATAGCGTTGTCATTTAAAGAAACCGTGTTTGATGAGTCCAATCCAAATGTCAGAGATTGAAATTAAAATTTGGGGTCCTTTTAAAGCAAGATAAATATAAAACTAAAAAAATATTGTTGGTTTAACTTTAAAAAGTAAGTAACCTGGTTGCCTTAAAATTTTAATTTTTATGGAAAAAGTGAGTTAATATAATGAGGGAGAATGATTTAATCATCAGAAACTCAAAATTATATGTTATCTGAACTAAATAAATTATTTAAGTTGATTTGACAAAAGAAAAAATGTTGTGATTACTAATCATGAAAAGATTTTTCCAGTGACCCCAGTTGATTAATCACTGTATTTATGGCAATTGTTTTTCTATTACAAGTTTTCTGAAATGTTATGTTTAAATATGCAAATAAAGTATTATCGAATTATATGTATGCTAATTTGCATACACTTCCAGAACAAAAATCTGAACATTGTTTGAAGCCAATGGTTCAGAATTCCTGTTTTATTTTATTAGTGTTAAAACTTTTTTAAAACATTTTTTTTAATAAATAAATAAAAAATCAGTTTTTTAAAAATACGTTCACCACGTTTTTCGGAATAAAAATTGATATAATTCAGATAAATGTTATATGAACAAACCTCTCTGTAAAAACCTTCAGAATACAGAAAAGCCCATCAAAGATATGTTTTGTAATTGAATTTAACAAATGCTAATAGAAAGAATATGTCTACTTTCCACTAGTCTGAAAGAGAACATGTTATGGAAGCTAAATAGCCCAATAACTCAAAATTGAGCAGTGCATGAAAAAAAAACAATGTTTTTTTCCTTTAGTGTCTTGCATGCTTTAAGGAGTAACCTGTCAGCCCAAGTCTGAAGTTGTCACACCTCTGGGGATGATTCTCTCTAAGCCTCCCTGTCATGCTCACCCTAAACCTTAAACATACAGCTCCACTCTCCACCCCCCTCCGGGCACGGAAATCTCAGGCCAGTTTGACAAACAGTAAATGTGGTGTCTGCCAGGGCAGGACAATGGCAGTGAGGCTCTGGGCCAGCTCCCTCTTTTGTCTGGGTTTAGTTAAGTCGAGTTAAGATCATTCCCTGGACCAGCCTCGCCCGCCGGGTGGCGTGATTCTTTCCCTCCGTCTGGAGCCACGGCCTGCCGAGCTCCTTTCTCCCCCCTCCCCGGGAGTCCTGCCCCGGACACAGTCGTGGAGCCGGCCGCCTCTGTCTAACCCACTGAAACCCAGCTCTAGTTGCCAGGCGCTAAGATGCACACTCACCATGCTGGAGGTATGCGTCTGCATGCTTGTTTTTGGGTGGAGGGGACATGGCAAGTTCTTGTCTGACTCCTCGATGGACGGGGCGACTCAGCAACATTCCTGGAATCTCTGATGGCACACTGTAAAACTCAACACGTTAAGGAAACTCAAACCATTTAAATGAGTTCTGTGAATTATAAATGATTTATCCTTGCATATCATTTTTTTTAATTCGCCTTCCTAATCTTTAATCAAAATAACTTCCCCTTCCTCTTACAACGACACCTCTTCTCTGATGACGTATTTATAGCGTGAGGGCAGGACAACCTGTCACTCACATGACATCACAGCATTAGCAAATGACAACAATTCAACGACCCAGTCCATTCACGATGGACAAAATCAAATCTCGAGTCTAACATTTCTTCTTGTTTGAGAAGCCGTTTCGCTTACGTTACGTAAGAAAAGACTTGCTGACTTTGACAGTCTGAAGTAAAGCATGCTCGGAAAATGAAATCTACTGGACCTCATTCAGTTTGCTGCATAATATTATCAGTTATTGAGCTTGCATAACATCTCTTATTAGAATGAACTTGTCTTTCAGTATTTGAGTAAAAGGAACTTTAGTAAATTTGACTGTTTAAAATAATTCTACGCTGTTCATCAAGCGATTCTGAGAAATGCATATTATTTATCTTTTCAGATTGTTTTTAGTACGGTGCAAGGGCTGCGCAGAGATCATCTCTCCGGCCGAGCTGGTGATGCACGCAGGCCCTGCGGTTTTCCACCTGCGGTGTTTCTGCTGCTGTGTGTGTGCCTGCAGGCTGCAGAAGGGAGACCGATGTGTGCTTACAGGGGACAGGCTTTTCTGTGCCAGAGACTATCACAACCAAATGGCCAGCCCAACCACCTCCGACTCAGGTATTGTCTTAAAACCACACCACTGCTCATGCATGCCATCCTTATACACTCAGTAAGGTCATGGAGCCTGTAAATGATATAATTATATAAATCAGGTGTGGTACGTAAATAAAGGAGACGTCCCACATGAGCAGTACTTGGGTATTCACTGGCACAGCAATGCTAAACTATGAAATTGATTGTATGTATTAAATTAGTACTATTAATAATAATAATAATACACACAAATAGTATATAGCCAAATAACAAATAACTATTATAGAAGTATAATATATAGTAATAAAGTATATATGAATAAATTATATTAATAAAGCACTATGATGCTATAAATGTATCAATAATATAACAGAATATAGCAATATAATATATACCAAACTTTTATGAAAAAAGTTTTTTTAAAATTAAAAAATCCATTTAAAAAAATCATTTCATCAAATCAGTTGAAATTATATTACAACTGAAATATATTTATATGTATTTTAAAAATGTAATTTATTCCTGTAATGGTAAAGTCTCTTTAGTGCCACATGATCTTTCAGAAATCATGATTTGATACTTAAGTAACAGTTTTTTAAATCTCTCTTGAAAACTTATTTGTTTTCTTTAGCTTTTAAAACATGTTGATGCTCTCATTTTCTTATGTGTTAATTTTGTTTTGATTACTTGACTTTGTACAGTGCTTTGGTCAGTTCTGGGACAGTTTTTAAATGTGCTTAATAAAAGAACTAGAACTAGAATATTTATTTCAATTTCAGTTCATTATTATTATTTATTATCTTTTATGGCACTACAAACATGTTTCCTTAACTACAGGTAAAAGTGAAGATGTTGAGGAGGAGGAGGATGATGATGATGAAGACAACATTAGGACTGCAGGGGAGTCTAACACAATAGGAGACGTGGAACACAAGAGGCCTAAAAGGCCTCGTACAATCCTTACAACACAGCAGAGACGTGCTTTCAAAGCTTCTTTTGAGGTCTCATCCAAACCATGTCGAAAGGTCAGCCATTTAAACTGACAGCCTGAAAATTAAATAATACTTTAATTTAGTAGTTTAATAACACATTTCCTATATGTTTACATTATCTTTTACATTTTTTGAAGGAGATTTTTATGTAGCCGCAGCTGGTCTGGACAGCAGTACTGTATTTATCTCTGTTGATCTGATACTCTAGTTTGGGTCAGTTCATCAGTTAGTCTACATGACCCGTAGACCATGAAGGTCACACTATGGCTTTCTCTCTGTCTGTCTTTCTATTGTAAGGTAAGGGAGACGCTGGCAGCAGAGACAGGATTGAGCGTACGAGTCGTTCAGGTCTGGTTCCAGAACCAAAGAGCCAAGGTAATGTGATGCCCACCGACACAGACAAACACAGTCATTGAAAGAACATCAACTTATGCAATTGATAACAGATCTCTTTCTGCAGTATATGAGCTTGCCAATAAGGAAACAAGCTATGTTATTGCCTCATAGGAAACTGATGACATATTATGTATAGATCCCCGTAGATTAGACTTGGATTTCCTTTCAGTGTGTTGTTTTTTCTGCCTTTCTTCGCATTACAAAGAGATTTTCTCTTATTAGTTTTCTCATTTCTATATGTGAACATGGTCATGTTTTTATTAGGCTGTAAGATTCTCTTTCATACACATTGTCTCTTTAGATGAAAAAACTGGCAAGAAGACAACAGCAGCAGAAGCAAAGCCTGTCCTCTCAGGAGAAAAGGGATAGCCAATCACAACACACTGGTATACAGAGTTCACAACAATTTTACACTTTGCTTCACCCCAGGTTATATTCTCTTTTTAAACCCCACTTTTAATAACATTTCACACTTGTAATAAGCACAGCTTTAACCCTATATTGTGTTAATGATTCCCATGATTTCACCAAGTAGGCTACAACTACGGAAGCGTATTGCATTCACATGAGGAAACAAAATCTACTCTGTTTTTCTGAATTAACGAGTTAATTATCTCAGAATTACGAGATAATTTTTCGTGGAAAAAAGTTTTTGCTCTGTTTTTCTGAAATAATGAGTTAATTATCTCAGAATTATGATTATTTTTCTTGAAAACATTTTTTCACTCTGTTTTTATAAGTTATTGAGTTAATGAGTTACTTCTATTTTTTATAATCAAGTCATTAATTCAGAAAAACAGAGCTAAAACTTTTTCCCATGAAAAATTATCTCATAATTCTGATTTTTTTTTTCAAGCGAATGCAGAGTGAATGCAATATGTTTCCTTATATAGAACATCATTATTGATCCTGGAACAACATTCCAATCAACCAATCAGATTTGAGGGACAGGTTTACAATATAAATTGTAGGTTTATAAGTGTAACTGTCCAATCCTGTCCCTTTGGTTTTAGGGAGAAGTTATAGTTTTACGTTTAGGGATAAAGATAGGGTTAGGATTAAATATTTTGAATTTTGTTCCAAAATTTGTTGATCTTGGTGGTGGGGAACATACTGTCTTCAGAATGTAACGGACAGTCAACAAACCAAACGGAATAAATATTCATGAGGTTTGAACACTCTGAAACGTCTCACGCTGTATTCTATTTTCCACAAAATAAAAAATAAATAAAAAGTTGAAGAGTGTCGGGAAACGCGTTAATTGGGACGGAGAAAACTACTTTATTCGTTACAAGTTTCTTAATCTCAAAATGGAAGGTACCTACAGTCGAAATAAAAGCAATGTGTATGCACGAGACGTTTTTTTAAACAGGCCGCGTGTTTGTACCTATTTGTCCAATTTATAATAAAAAACACTGCATATATTTACATTTGAACGTTAATTCATGATTTGCGAAAATGTGAGACGTGAAAAACAATTTTTAATGTGAAAAGCGTTTATCATGCTTTAGTTTAGGCGAATATATGTCAGTAGCCTATCTACTCTAGTCTGCACTAAGACAATCTTTTCTTGCCATTTGTGTGACCACAGCGCCTTCTTGTGGAGGTATGCCTGCCGAGCTGGAGTGCGCAGGTTCATATTCACTTACCCAGCAGAATATCAGTCTAGACTCACAGAGCTTCGAGCTGGACCCCTTCAGACAGGGGCTTACCCCTCCTCAAATGCCTGGAGACCATATGCATCCCTATGGTATAAAACACATAGGCTCACTGTCAAAAATACAGGACTGGAGATTTGCTCCTTGCCCATCCTATTAATTTATCATCTCTCTCTTTATAGGTTGTGACACAATCTATGATGATACAAACAGTGACCTGTGTCATTTTGGAGACTGCATGTCGTCGAGTGAACCCTCACTTTTAACACCGATTGACCGATTGTATTCAATGCAAGATTCTTATTTTGCCTCTTGAGTGTCATTCAGACAGCTCAGGAAAGATTTATGGGGAGAGAGTGCAAGTGTACTATGTATGCTTCTGCGTGTATTCTGCTTATGCATGTTTTAAGGTTTTGACTGGCGACAATGGAAATGTACTGTGATGAAAATGTTCTTTGTGTAATTTGTATTTATTGTTTTATGTGTGTAATCTGGACTGAATTACAATAAAAAATATTTAAAACTGTCAATGAATTGGCAAGATTGTTTAATTTTTTTTTTTTTTTTCGAGCTTAAGTTAACTTCAAAGTCAAAGTCTATGTAACATTTTTATAGAGTTTGTACTCTGATATGCAGATGCATTAGTGATATGGTAATTTATAACAAATCCAAGAATCCACAAACAATCACTATGTGTGCAGTGAGAACTGCCATTTTCCAAACTCAAGGTCATAGGCAGTCTAGGCTTTCAGCACCTCCTATCATTATGCATATCTTTATGGCACTTTTTCAGAGCCAGATGGTGGTCCACCACAGGGCACATCATCGCCCAGATCTTTAGACTCCCACTTCAGCTTCAGAAATGGGGCCTACCCATAAATATACTCCACATCCGCCCATCATGAATGCCTATACTGTGATTTTCTGTTGCAGATATATAGCCAAGCTGCATTCTTGCATTTTCAGGGGCGTGTATGACCACCCAAAAGCCCATTGGGGCTGCTACTCTGGAATGTGTCAGTGTTATAGTTTGGTGTATTGTACTGAGGTTGAGGATAATATCAGGTGAAAATGTAAGGCATGCTGGAAAGATAGGAAGCCCTTCATACTGTGCCTCTTTGCCCCAGCAATGAACCTTCTTTCTGTCTGTACCAGGTTCACATTTCTTACTCCGATTTCAGACCTCCAGATGTAAGTGCCACAAGTCACTGGGCAAGAACAATTTAACTGTCTGTTCCTGTCATGTGGACCTGTCAGGAGATGTTGCAGGGCAGAGGTGAGATGAACACTGTGTTTGCATGAGCAAATGATCATTTTAAGATTATTCAGATAATAATAATCAATAGCCTACTCTAATATGAAAAAAATGTAACACTCCAGAATAATGGATGAGTAGGACTGGTTGTTACTGAGAATTATTTAGCATTTTCCATTTATTTTGGCCTGATGTTGCCCACATTCATGGAAACCTAAACCACGGTGTAGTCCGTTTTCCGAGCAACGCTTATTTGCAGGTAACAAACACACCGCATGACCATGTGTAGTCAGCGATGCCAGATTTGTGAAAGAATCACTCTTGATCTAATCGGTTAAACGGTTAAACACTTCACTCACACACTGAATTTAAAATAAGTTCAAAATTTGTTCAGTTCAAAATACGTCAAAACACAGAAGGGTCACTGTGATTTTGCCAAGTAAAACATGTTCCTGGATCAGTAGCTGCCTTGGCTAAGTTTCACTTTAAATGGACCTCACAACAGAACTGTACTTCCGCCTATGTCCAGCGTGACCTTTCCAATGTGATTTCGTAATGCCTGGCAAGTCGCAGACCAGCACAAGGCGAAAAAAATGTGGTTAAAAAGTATACATTTCTATTTTTTTTTTTTTTTGAAAATGACAGATCGTTTCACTAGAGACCCTATAAAGACCCTATTCCTCAGCTGGGATCGAGCCCTTTGAATCAAATCCTGCATTGAAACTGCTCTGATTTGGACTTCAACGATTTAGTTACTGTTGAAGTCCATTGTGTGGAGAAAAATCCTGAAATGTTTTCCTCAAAAAACGTAATTTCTTGCCACTGAAGAAAGAAAGACATGAACATCTTGGATGGCATTGGGGTGAGTAAGTTATTAGGAAATTTTCATTTTGAGGTGAACTAATTCTTTAAATGATAGGAGGCCTTTAACTGTTTCTTTGAAATGGAACTCTAAATTGCAAATACTGCCTATGTCCTTGATCAACATATTTTGTTGATCCAAGAACAACATTCCTGTCCGAAAACATATTCCGAGCCCTTAACCCGCCCCTAAACCTAACCCTAATAGGTGAATAAGAATGGTTTAGAGCTCTTGACATTATACAGTAAAGCCCTCAAATCGGAGTAGAATTGTTTCAGGATCAACAAGTTCTACTTGGTAAAATTACATTTAGTAAAAATCTAGGCCTACTGGTTAGCGAATTTCTCTTCCGGGTTTTCACGTTGTCCCTGCAGAATGTGAACGAAAATAGAGGCCTATAGGCCTACTACCTATAATGGGGACAATAGCTAGGCCTATAGCCTACACCTCAATGGCCTGTGTTCCAGACCTACTTAAGAACGGCAAACACCATGGGATGGGACTAATTTCTTAATCCAAAACAGCGTCATGTCCGACTCAAAATGCACCCATGTTGTAAGACTCGATATGTAGAACGTATTGAACATAAGTTTTGATGTAGCCTTATCAACGAAACAATATTTTTTGACTGTAGTGTCTACTGACGAATGGACAGGTCACTGTAATCCGCTTAAAACAGCACTGGCACGCATCGCGGTCTCTCGTGCACTTATTGGCGTGATACTGTCAGTTGGCAGGCCAAGCAAACGAAAAATAATCAACGGCTATCATACGGTCACAGCGGGCAGCATTAGCCTCGTTATTATTACGATAGCAGCCAGGAAGCATTCAGTCATCTGATCGGTTATTTATTGCGCATTTCGTGCCAGGATGGGCTGCAGACCCGCTCCCGCTTAATATCATATAATTGGCGTCACGCTGCGTTAATGCCCGGACAGATGCGACTGTTAGGCACCCGTGCAACTCCTTCTGTGCTGAAATGCAGAAGAGCTCAGCAACAAAAAATAGAAGGGCCATCCTGTTAAGCAGTAGCCTACTGCATATTCCTTAATATAGGCTCTGAAATATTAAGCAGCTCCATTTCACAAAAGTAATTTAGGCTACAAAAAAATAGCTCACAAAAATCATATTAGTTTCATCACATTTAAGTGAACATAGTGTGATTTTTTTTTTTTTTTAGGTAACTCTTAGCTGTTCTCATGCCTATTGTAAAACATACACATCATGGCTATAGAAAATGCTCATTAGCTCCTAACCCTAAAGCCTCTCACATAGAAGGAACAAGGTGAAGGGGCAACTAGAGGCCTACAAGGGTGACAGTGTGGGCATAGTGCCCAGAGGCAGCACATCCTGGCCTGGGTGTCTGATCTGGGGCAGCACGTCCAGTGTGAGGATATATGAAACAGTGGGTGTGTGAGCGAGTGGACAACAGGGTGTTTCTGGCAGTGTTTATGCTGTCTCTCACATACTTAAAAAGGGTGCCACACAGACACTAAGGAACAAACCCACTAACAGTAACTATTGCATTCTTAACAATGCTGGAAACAAAAAATATATAGTGTGCAATTATAGTGTGCAAATGACTCTTGAAACACCAATTCTAATCAAATATTCATTTATTTCAAGAACAAAACAACATGGAAAATATTGGTCACTTTACTCAGATATTGAGTAAATTTGTCTTTTAATTGAATTCAAATGCTGGGTTCAAATCCCCTTCCCACGAAGAGTCATTCAGACTGTAATGAGCTGCAGTGGAGAAGAAAAAGTGTATTAAGTTAGGCTACTGTTACAACTTACACAAGTTAAAGGGTTAGTTCACCCAAAAATTAAAATTCTGTCATCATTTACTAACCCTCAAGTTGTTCCAAACCTGTATGACTTTCTTCTGCAGAACACAAAATTTTAAGAAAGTTTGGTAATCAAACCGTTTTGTTTACCAATATCTCTGAACTATCAAGCGTCTTGTGTTTTAAAGAGCAAAAACACATTCTGTGTCATCATCCCCTTATGCTTGTCACTCAGACATAAAAAAAAACAATGTTGTCAAATTGGGCAGATAATGAAACTTAACGCTTCTTGTCATCCAGGTGATGAAAGATTTACAGTTAACGTTAAAATGTACAGAGTTTACCGTTATTTTGTAACTGATGTGTAAATGGTATGTTACCGGTATAAAAAGACAGAACATCATTGCTTGTGCAAACAGCAAATTTGTGTATTTATCAAAAATGTATATCTGATAATTCTATGGTAAATTAACAGGTTTCATGTGTGAAAGGGGCTATTCACTATAGCTATTGTATGGACCAAAACAAACAAAAACACAAAGACTTTTACAATATATATATATATATATATATATATATATATATATATATATATATATGTATATTATGTTCCAGAAAGTAAGTCATACAGGTTTGGAATGGCATGAGTTTGTAGTCCCTGAAAATTACTGTATTGGTCCATGTTGCATTAGACCAACACACATCATTCCAATATTTATAACACTTACTACAATAACCTAAGTTAAAATGACTTACTAAAGCTAAACATACAACCTTGCAAGCACGAATGCTATAAAATTACACTTTTTATTAGTTTAACGCTTAAAAAAGGTTATGCCAACAATGGAATGGGATTTTATAAAAAGAATAGTAATTTTTTTTTACCCTTTTTGGTGAATTGGCGCATCAACAAAAAAACTAGTCCTCCAAACAAAAGTAGTCCAGCTGAAGAAGCAACTCCCACAGCTGCATACATCAGCATGCCGGCACTCACTGACATCTCCTGTACTGAAAGCACATAGTAAATATGTTATAATGCAGAGATTCACAAACCTTGACACCCGAACCCCTTTGACAAAATATATTTACTTAAAGTGTCCCCTGAGATTGTAACTTAACAACACATGTGCATGTGCGCGTTCTCTGAGATTGAAGGTTCTGAGGTTCAACGCATGAACCCGCTGCAGTTCCCACATTAACCGTACCGTACCACTCTATTTACCCCACCCCACACAATCTAGTGTATAATATTGGAGTTATTTAATATTTGTAGCTACCTTAAGCTGAATATGTTTTTTACACAATTATAGTATTATTGTATTTTTTTCATTTGTGTTTTAAAAAAATATTTAATATACATTTATTAATATAATATTGAATATTTTTAACAGCATACATACAAACATATACAGTATAGGAAAAAACAAACAAATTTAAACACACTCCCAGGGTGCGGCCAGTAGTAGGCACTCATGCAACGCAAGCAATGATGCACATCTGTGTGAACGAGACTGAGCAAAGCAAGGGAAGGGAATAAAAAATTGTACTTAAACGAGGCCCCTCTCATAATGTTTTAATGGCCTTCCAGTGTAATTATTCATTCTGCATTAATATGTAATGATAGTGATATAGTAATATGCATGCAGCATTTTTCTACAGAATTAATGCACCAAAAAAGATGGGTTAGAGGAGTTGGCCTTACCAACACAACTGGGTGGAGAGTTGGTCCAGTACCCTTTGGAGTTGCAGATGAGCTGACTGGTTCCATTGAGCTTATGGCTCTTGGCACACTGGAAAAAACACTGAGATCCAAAGCTGAAGTTTCCATGTGGGTGAGAGCAGTTCATTGAGGGTAGAGGTCCCAGCTCAGGAAGTTCAGAGAATGAGAGGAGCTCACAACGAACAGCTGACATTTAAAAGATAAACGATAGCAAAGCATTTGATTAATGTTTTTCATGTCCCATTATTCTTACTAATATCAGTTTTAAATGATATGGCCTGATCATTTATATTCTTAAGTGTTTAACAGGAGAAGCCAATGTTCATTTTTTTTTTTTTTTTTTGGTTTGCTTATGTAGTTCTTATTAGAGTTTCAGAGAAAAGAAACCTACCTGTAACTCTATGAGAATGTTATTTTATGGTTACAAAAAATAGAACCTAAATAGAATGTTCCTTTAATGGAAAAATCAGGTTGGAACATTCCATTTTTGTCGAGAGGTAGATACCAGTGCAAGAGGGCATCTCCTGACTCCAGTTCCCAGAAGCAGAGCACGTCATGCCTGGCTCTCCTGTAATTTCAAATCCAGCCTTACATCCCAAGAAGCATTGTGAGCCGTAGCTAAACAGGGAGTGAGGATGAGAACAATTCATCCAGCCATTTTCTTGACTGGTCAAAGGGGGGCACTGTTGAGCTATGAACAATAATAAATAAATGTTAACATACATTAATCAGCTGTTCAGATCAGTTTTAGATCAAGCTGGTTAGTTTGATCTCATTTTGTTTTAATGGGGTGACAGATGAATATAGGATACCAATAGAGGAAACCACATGATTCATGATGCTTGATGTGAAATAAGAAGACCCAAAAGTGATTACCCAAGCAGAAGGGTGGGGTGTCTGTCCACTTCCCCATCTCCAAGCACTCCATTCGGGGTGTGCCATGCAGTTTGAAGCCTGCCTGACAGCTTACTTCACACACACTACCGAAGCTGAACCTCCCGTGAGGGTGCGTGCAGGATACGGTCCCATGAGAAGGGTCGATTAAGAGGCTGCACTGCCGTGCTATTGGACAGAATCAAAAGATATGATAAAGCCTTTCTGTCCATGACTTTATAGTAAATTGCAGATGTCAGTGCTACATTTTTGTTCTTTATTTATGATAGGACTGGATTGGAGAAGGTGGCAATACAAATAACTTCTCTTGGAGACCCAATTACTTCCCTCAATAGCCTTTCTATTTAACCATCACAGAATATCAAGAGTGTTCATTTAGTGTATTTTTTATTGAAATAGGTTTAAACCCACCTTCACATTCAGGCGTTGGTGCTGACCAGTTGCCATCACTCAGACAGGTGAGTGTGGATTCTCCTCTCAGTGCGTATCCCGCCTCACAAGTAGCATTGCAAGAAGAACGAAAAGAGAACTTTCCCAATGGATCAGCACAGGTCAGGTGACTCTGTGCAGGGGCCACAAGAGGGTCACAAGCCACAGCTTAAATTTTAAATGAGATAACAAAATATATTTAATATATGATGGGAACCCCTAAAAGGATCCATATATGAAGCACCTGATATAACCTTTTTTTCTAAGAGTGAATATCATTTCATCAGAAGTTTAATGGTATTAGGTCAATAAGAATTATATGAACGGATGGCAAACCTGTACAAATAGGTGTACTGTATGTCCAGAGCCCAGTATGGTCACAGAGAGTGGAATCTGCACCTTTAAGCACAAAACCCTCTTCACACTTGAACTCACAGCTGGAGTTATAGCTATTGTTGGAGAGGGGGTGTGTGCAGCTCATACTTCCAAAATTTGGTGCATTAGAGAGAGGTGGACACTGTACAGCTGTGGGAAAATCAGAAGCAACTCAAAAAGTGAATCTGTTGGACCTACGGCATAAACTGAAAATATGTATATAAATGTGTGTGTATTGTTTAAGAAGCAGGTTACCATGGCAAACAGACAAGGTGTGACTCCAGTTCCCATATGCGGTACAATGAGTTGAATTTGTACCATTGAGTACAAAACCTAAGTCACATTTTACCCAACAAGTGGAGCCATAAGCAAACTCCTCCATAGGATCATAAGATTGCAGGGAGCCATGTGGGCTGGGCTTCAGTGGGTCACACTTTACAACTGGCAAAAACAAAACAGGCAAGATTGTAGACTCAAAAGAGTCTGTGATAGTGTAAAAGAGCATAGTGACATTTTCCCACTGCAAACACTATGGATTCAATAACTCTCTATGAGACTGAGGAATCATGTATGCTCCAGTAACCCACCTTCACATGCAGGTGTGGCTGCTGACCAGTTGCCATCACTCAGACAGGTGAGTGTGGCTTTTCCTCTAAGTTTGTATCCCTCATCACAGGAAACATTGCAAGAAGAACTAAAAGAGAAGTTTCCGAATGGATCATCACATGTTAGATGACTCTTTGGAGGGGCCAGAATGGGATTACAGGTCACCACTGCAACAAATGTATAACACATCAATTAAATTATTAACCATTTCTGTTCAAATGCACAAAGACCTTAATCACCTCCTTTCTTAAGAACACTGTTATTGTGTTATTTTTTTACAGAAAGTGCACATCCTGGGTGCGTCTTAGCAGTGTTTCCTAACATTAAAATGTTTCACAAGAACGAAAAGGAAGAAGGAAGCGCAACTTTTGCTTTCAGCACTTTTCGAAATATTACAAACTTGTGGGTTTTTATATAATATTTTTCCCCAATATGCAGCTTTTGTTAAATCATGTCAACGTGCACTTTCAGAGCACTTGTATGAAGCAGCAACAACCTGGTGATTCACTGAGGATCATGTTCTGCAGATGTGCTGTACCTGCGCAGGTGGGGGGTTTGTGTGTCCAATGCCCAGTGTGGTCACACCAAGCTGTATTTGAACCTTCGAGCACAAATCCTTCCTCACACTTGAACTCACAGCTAGAGTTGAAGCTATTGATGGAAAGGGGATGAGTGCAGTTCATACTCCAACCACCAGGGGCATCAATGATCGGCAGACACTGGACAACTGTAAATGTAATGTCATTTTAAGTAAACTAAACACATCAGAAATTGAATATAATAATCATCTAGGCTACTTATTTTTACTACCCACACTGAAAAAATTGAAATAGTCATATTTGAATTAGAATTAGGCCCTACCTAGAAATAGTCCACTAGGCTACTCCAATAGTCTTCGTATTTTTTACAACTTTGAAAAGGCCGCTATTAAGGCCAATTTAACTCAAGAACGACAAATAAAGAAAACGAAACCTTCAGTTTGCTACTCGTGTGCTACAGTTTTGTTGTCTGTCGCTTTAAATGCTCGAGCTCTTTAAAGCAGGATGGATTCTGATTGGGTGTCAATGTTTTTATCGTTCTGGGAGAAAAAAATCGTTTTGACTGTGATTCCTACAATATCGTTTTTCTGTGCTATTATTGTTATTGTTGTGATATGGACTATGCTATTCTCTTAAATCTAGAACGATTTTTTTTTTAAACTAAATGTTTATCGTTATCGTCCTGGGTGCACATTTATAATCAGCACTGGCATATTCTGTTCCATACCCTGACAAACAGGAAGTGTGTTATCCCAGTGCCCAGATGCCAGGCAGTGTAGCTTTTGTTCCCCTTCCAGCTTGAACCCAGTGGAACATTTGAACTGGCATGACGAGTTAAAATAATATGCTCCAAAGTCACCGTCACACTTCACAAAACCTTGCTGTGGACTTTTAACTGGCCCGCACTGGACAACTGCAAAAGTGAGAATTATAACTTAGTGACAAAATGCACAAACACACAATGAAGATATCTGAACTTGAATGGGTTCTACAGAACCTTCCTCACAGCGTGGGCCCATAAAACCAGGGTCACATTGACATTTGTAGTTCCCAATAGTCTCCACACACTCCGCATGCTCACTGCAGGATTTATCTGAACAAGAGGCTACACAGAAAAATCAGGTGTAATGACAACAAATGAGTGCTGAGGTTTCAATCAGAAATGGATACACTTACAGCATCTATAATGTGCATTAAAGAGCAAATAATTATCTCACCATACAAAAGATTTGATTTGATTCAGCAGCTTTATTTTTGAATTCATTTGAAAAATAATCTCTACTTAAATCAATTTCATGTTATCAAGTGTGTTGTTCACCTAAATAACAGAGAGCTGCTTTCTTTTTGCTGCACCTCTCATCATTCCACTTGGCTGTGTCTTTTTCCCTCTTAATATAGATCTCTACACAGTCTTCTCCAGTTCCCTGGTTATTTGGTTCATTTTTTGCCCAGTTTGCTGCTTCAGGGACCAAGTGCTTTTTGGTCCCAACCCACGTCCACTGGCCTTCAATCTTCCTAATGCCAATCCAGTAGTATGTCGGATGGAAGGGCAGAGTTTGGTTAAGGTAAGCAACTTCTGCCTGGTTTTGGATGGCCACCATATCAGTGAAATTCTTTTGACACCACTGACGAGCTTTTATCCAGTCCACATCAGTGTCTATGTTGTAATGGTATGTCCAGGCCTTGACTGATAAACACAGTTGTGTTGCATTAAAATGTAGTTTACAACGTTTTAATTCACTATTTCATTAAATTTACTTTGAAACTTTGTAGTTTATTATATATATTTAAGAAACATTTTGATTATAAATAGATTAAATGAGAACGTACCATTAAAAATTCCAGTTATAAGGACAAGGCATCCAGAAAAAAGTCTAATATTCACCCACAAAACCATCTGAAGGATGTGAGAAATGCATCTGTGTTTATTAAGACACTATTTGTGTTCTGATTTATGCATGTCATCAAACCAAAGGGTCTAGAGATCCAAATGCTATTAATTATTTTATTTGATACTTTTTGGGGTATAAATCTAAAATATTACTCTAAAAAGCATTTGGAATTGATGAAATGCAAAAATACTAAAATAAATATATACAAATAAAATAAATAAAGTATTACTATAGTTTACTATATGAATAAAGTAAAGCAGAATGTTCCTCTTACCTTTTCTGCAACCATGCAGTTTCATTTATTCTGAGAGGAATGCTGAGAGGAAGTTCACAGTTTAATGCACATGAAATTGCTGGCAAATATGATTTGCCAATATTCAGACAGTTGCATTGCATTAGAACTAAGTGATGGGAAATTGTGTAATAGTGCTGCCATTGAAGGAAAAGTTACAGCACAGTGTACACTGTTATATACCAGATATTAAATAGTTTTAATGTCATTCTATAGCTCACACTGAATAATGTTTTTTTTCAGCTACAATAAACAACATCAAAAAAATTTTGAGCAAAAGATAACAATGGGATAATTGACTTTATTTTGTTTTTTCACATACAAAGCATTAAAAATAAGGATGATCTGAAGACAATTTGACAAAAAAAAAAAAAAAAAAAAATCTAACATCAATCCAGTTATTGTCAGACTTCATTATGCAGAAGTTGAACATAGAGGTCCATCAAGTGGTGTGTGTTCAGCTCCAAATGCTGGATTCAGTATTTCCTGGTGAGTTCTGCAAGAAAACATGGTGGGGTAAGATTTATGTTTGATTACAGTAACTGTTATCTAAATCATCTAAATCAGTGAAACTAAAGTAAACACAATTGACCTCAATCTCACTGGCATTTTATCTGCAACCAAAATTGAAAAGGAAAGGGAAAACATTTTAAAAGATATATATTTTTCTCTTTTAAATAATGTCTTTTATATTTGATTAATCCTTCAAAACTGCACACTATACTCACTCTTTCTGCCGTTGGAGCAACAAAAACAGCAACAAAACACTGAGATGACAACAGATGCCAAAAGAGCGATTTGAAAATGGACAAGACCTGAGGAAAAATATAAAAAGATTCTAAGTATTCTTTTAATATAAAAATTTTTAAACTACTGTTCCCTGGCCTTTCTTCCCTTTCAAAATAATACAGTTAAGATTATGCAGGTAAGGATTCATGAAAGGAAAAAGCACTTTCTTGAGCATGTTGGAGTCATTTACTAATTTGATGGGCAAATTTCCGGATTGTGTTAGTGCATTTAATTAGCTGTAATACTTATGCTCAGATCTCTTCTTTTGTTGTTGTTATTGTCTGTTTGTTTTATTGTCCTTATTATGTTAGTTTGTAAATAAATAAATCATGGGTTCATTTAATCATGTTTCTGACCATTAGGTTCATTCATCAAATAGAATAATATTCATTAGAACCTCAAAATAGTTTAAAGGTAACGGTTGGTTTTTGAAAGAGAAATTGATTCAGGATTAATATGATTTCAGATTATAAATATATTATTATATGTATTAAATAATTATGAAAACATACTCTAACGGGGTTAGCCTTAGGGTAAAAATAAAAAGGTTCCTATTGCCATTGATGGTTCCATAAAGAATAACTATTGAATATTTCCATTACAAAAAATATGCTTTAAAAGGTTTTTCTGATTATTAAAATGTTCTTAACACACAGAAATATAAGCAAAAAAAAAAACAAAAAAAAAAAACTTTTGGAACTTTTTATTAGTTTAGTAACAATAAAAAAAATGTTTCTTTCCAAGGCTTCATATTCTTGATAGGGAATAGAGAAAATTGACTTTCAAATGAAATGGAAATTGAAATTAAGACCAACATGCTCTCATTATAGCTACCTCATATCAGTGGGACACAACTGAAAAGTGCGACCTCCTTACTTGCACACATCAATGGAAAGGAAGACTCCCACATGCCATCAGCTCTGCAGGTGAACTCAGTAAAGCCCAGAAGCAAACGTCCAGGTGGACATTGTACTCTGCAGGCAGATCTGAAGCTGTCATGTCCTTCAGTGCAGTTCATCATTCCACCACCAAACAAAAGAAGGGGAAAACACTCCACTGCAAGCGGAAGACAACTCAATCTTACATGCATATAGTGATTTCTATTAGTGCAAACATAGAATCATACTATTGAAATATATACTGTAACTGTACCTAGACTACCTACACATGAAGGGGGAGGTGCGTTCCATGCAGGGGGAGGTGAGTTCCAGCAAAGATTTTTGCAATATTACTATTACATTTAACATTGAGTTAAATTATAATATATTTCACTTCATAGTTAGATATTTCACCACTTTACATTTGTTGAAATACTGTTTGTTCTGACCTGTTTCACACCGTGGCCCAGAGAAACCTGGCTTACATACACAGGTGAAGTTATTGACTTGTTCTTTGCAGATCCCTTTATTACTGCATGAAGTGTTTTGACATTGTGCTGAAAGAAAATATATTGATTTATAAGAATGGATGTCTTTCCTAGACTCACATTACATAAAGATACTGTACTGGAAATAAATGAAAAAACTCAGACTCCCTACCTTTGTGACACACAGGATACTTGTTTCCCTCGCAGTCGTCATCGTTCCACTTGCCATTGTTGCCTTTGCTGCTGTACATTTCCACACAGTTTTCAGAAGACAAAGCATTGTTGGGCTCATTGCCTGCCCAGTTTTGATAGTTCATGATCTGTCCATTGGCAACCCACATCCAATTGCCATTGATCTTTTTGAGTCCAATCCAGTAGTAAGGACTTGAGTTTCTACCTTCCACAAATTCTTGAAGAAAATGTGTTACATTTTCATTATCAATCACTACAATGTCAGTGTAATTTGTTCGACACAACTCCCGTGACGCAGTCCAGCTCATTGACGTGTTATATACGTGATACGTCCATCCTTCAACACTGACTGTAATGTTTGGAAATGAAAAGTTCAAGTTAAATCTGTTTCACCCGTTTATATTATTCTTCAAGGTTGATGAATGTAGAATACACTTACCCAGTATCAGCCAGAAAACTCCTATGTGCACAGACATAGCTCTTAGCTTCCCAAAACATCCAGTCTAAATAATAAAACAGACCTTAATTTATAGTGCATTTTTACAAAACAGATTGTTTCAAAGCAGCTTTCCAAAAGGAAAATAAAACTTCCTTGATAACAGGAAAATAATGCAACAAAGTTTGTTTCTGCTGATGAGAAAATAGCGTCATAGTCCAACTTAAGTAATGTTTAATTTTTGTTGTAAAAAAGTTACTTATTTAGTATGTATATACTGTGTATATATTGCCTAATTTTGTCAATGTGGGGAGATCAATTACATAGTTTAATATTAAGTGTCCCCAACTAAACAAGCCAAAAGCGCATATAAATTTAGTCAAAAAAAGGTTTTATTAAACCAAAAAGCTTACAATAAAATGTAAAGACTCATAACATACCGTGGTCTTCATTAGACTCCTTTCAACTGAACCACTTGTCGTTGGAGGAATGTTCTCACACAAAGTCTCTTTTGCTCTGTAAGCAAAGTGGGTTTCCCACCATATATATCAGTCGTTCGCATTAAATTGCAGGATGTTTTCTTCTCAGATTTGAGAGAATAAACATTATGTAACATGAGAATAAAAGAATGGCACTTTCCAGAAACGACTGGTCATTTTTTATGTTAATTTATCTTTTTATAAAATCATCTCATTGAATGGTGCTGATATGAACATGATGATTAGATGGTTTATCAGTAAAAAAAGGTACAAAAGCTGTCACTGGGGCGGTACCTTTTCAAAAGGTACACTTTTGTACCTAAAGGGTACATATTAGTACCAATATGTACCCTTTAGGTACAAAAGTACCAATATGTACCCTTTAGGTACAAAAGTGTACCTTTTGAAAAGGTACCGCCCCAGTGACAGCTTTTGTACCTTTTTTTCTGAGAGTGGAATAAAAGAATGCCACATTCCAGAAACGACTGGTCATTTTTTATGTTAATTTATCTTTTTATAAAATGATCTCATTGAATGGTGCTGAGATGAACATGATGATTTTGATAATCGAACAACATACTTCATTTAAAAAAAGAATTAAAATAATAAAATGAGGTAGCCTACATTACAAGAAACACTGTAACCACTGTAAGTTATAAACGAACTAAAAAATATATAACAAACATAGGCTACACTTCCTGATAATACGCAACTTCAGGGAAGGACAAAGTCACAGGAAGCGACCAGCTGAATTTGACCCGGGTTATTTAAACAAACCCTTTCATTGCACTTACAATGCTAATGGGTTTATCATACTTATAGGTGAGAAAAGATAAAGAGGTGCAGTGAATAAATTCCAACCTTTATTTAGGTGTTGAAGGGATAGTTCAACCTAAAATGAAAATCATGTCATAATTTACTCACCCTGGTATTGTTCTAATGCCTTGTGACAAGTGCCATATTCCAAGTGTTCTGGGGGTATACAATAAGGTTTAGTGAAAAAACAAAAAACAAAATGTGTAATATTATTAGGCTAAATTCTTGACCATGGCCATTGGTCTTCTCTGCACGGCTGCACGATGTTCGTGCTAATATTAGCGTTGCAGTTCACTCCAAAAACGAAAAGGCATAGCCTACAAATTGTGAGAAATCAAGATTAACAACAAAAAAGGTAACGTTACACGTGTACTTTCGTCACTGCGTAAAATATCAATTGAACTCTTGTCTGAGGTCTGACAGTTGACAGATGTGAACACGATAACTTGTTATGACAAACACAATGGATATATTTATCTCAGAGAAGATGCCTGGTTTGTATTTCATGTTATGTTAATCTTGATTTCACAGAAAAAGTGTGCTTTTTCTGGGCAAGAGGGTGAACAGTGAATAGTGGTGAACAGTGAATAGTCTCACAAACAAGCGCTACAGCCGTACAGAGATGACCAATGGGCAAGGTCAAGAATTTTGTTAAATAATACATTATATTTTGGTTTGTTTTTCAGCTTTCAAACTCTATCGTATACCCCAGAACACTTGGAATATATGAGGATGGGATCATTCTGTGATACCTTTTAAAAACACATTGATGCATGCTCGCTATTACTGGCAGTATGGACAAGTGAGAGCAGGACATTTTAAGAACAGAAAGAAGAGCATTCTACATTAGAATAACACAGGGTGAGTAAATATGACTTCATTTTAATTTCATGGTGAACAATCTCTTTTAGATTCAAATATTCTGCTGATCATTCTACAATTGAAAATGATCGATCACATTGAAAGTTTATGCTTTTGTGAAGATTGAGGCACTCATCTGAAAGAGGAAAAGGCATTGAAACACCCAAGTCATGTAAATGTAAACCAACCAAGTTTGACTTTTAAATAGTTTAATTTGACCAATACTGTTTTGGAACAATAAATAAATAGTACAAAAATAAGATACATTAATAACATAAGAAATAGTTTAACCGTACAGAACAATATGTTCAGTCAAGTACATAATAAAAGCTTCCATTGGGAAGTAGAAATCCCATTCAATTAGGACTGTTGCCTGATAAAATGGTAATGCCCATCAGACTGAGTATAAAGAATATCTTATCACATAAGTGTCAAATCATTTAGAAATTAAATTACATGAATTTGTCTGTCCAGCGATATACAGCAGTGATAGATGCCTGTGAAAAGAAAAGTTGAATTAGTTTTTCAATGAATTGTTCACAAACTACATCACTATTAGAAATACTGGCCTGTATATGTACATGAGAAATATTTGCTCACCTTGTGTAATGTGTAGTTATATGAGACTGTCAACACTCTTATAAATCTGTGGTGGATCCTCAATATCCGAGGTACTAAAAATTAAAATACACAAAAGCAGAGTTAAACAGGATATAGTCCTACATGGATAAACCAAGTGCAATAAACTGATAAATAACAACAGTAATAATGTAAGAACAGAAGGATATAATTTCTAAACAATCTTACCTGTTTAGGTCAAACTTGTTAGCTGAAAACAAAAATACATAAATTAGCATTTTAGTTAATTTTAGCTATATTATTAAATAATTATATGGAAGAACATTTTCTAGACAACTATATGAAATATGTGATCGTCGCATCTAGCAATTTATAAAAACCCAGTAGGCTGTTTGACTCACATTTACTCCCCAGTCTCTTCAGTATCCAGTAAACTAAGAACATACTTGAGCTGCCGATAATACCAGCAACCCCAAGAGTCACTTCTGTTGCTTTGATAAGTGATGCAGAAGGATGAGGATCAGCTGAGAATACAGATAAAGGGAAAGCTTTAGAATGGCCATCTCACTTCATCACTGAAATGATATCTGCCCACACTGTCATTGTTAGCAGTTTACCTTGACACAATGGCACTTCCCCTGACCAGCTCCCATTGAGGTTGCACGTCATTATCTCATTCCTGATAAGTTGGTGGCCGTCAAGACAACCGAAGGTGCAGACAGTGCCGAAGGTGGGTTCCTCAGATGAGCAGTTCATATGCCCATTGATTGGCTCAGAAAGTCGTGGACAGACCACTGCTACAGAGTTGAAAACGACAATGTTTTGTATGATAAAATTCATAAAACTATAATTTTAAAATACAATTTCATTGTAAAAAATAAACTTGCTGTCTTAATTTTTTAAGTACAATCTACTTGACTGTGTAAGCAACTTAACTGACATTTACTGTAAGTAAAAGAGTTCAAGTAATGTAAAAAAAAAATGTTGCCATGATTTATTTAGCATGTCTTTTTCTACGGTGTGTAAATCCATAAATGAGACAGGAGTTTGTTTATTACCTTCACAGTGAGGTGGTTCATGACTCCACTCTGCCGTTTTTGTACAGCTGATCTCTGAAGCCCCCTGAAGGAGGAATCCTTCTACACAACTGAAGCTGCATTTGCTCCCATAACTAAAGCTTAAAGTACAGCTCAGCTCTCCATTGACAGGGCTGTCAAGGGCTGGGCAGTGATGAACTGAGTGGTAAGAAGAAAAGTTTTTCCAATGAGTTTTTCTAAAAAGCATTTGTAAATATATATCTGATGTGTTTTGCCTTGCACAACATAAATTCCCCTCATGTTTACAGCTTAATAAATTATAAATAAAAATGTAATTAAAACTAAGAAGTAATATTTACAAAAACAAAAATGATAAAAGCACATAACAAAATGACTAAAAATGAAACTAAAATTAAAACTTATTAAAACTAAAATTAAAAAATATAAAAATAAATGCTATAAGAATACTAAAACAACACTGATCCTGACGCTACTTACTTTCACAAGTGGGTTGTGAATCATTCCATTGTCCCGTTGCTCCACAGAACAGTGTCGAGGAGCTGTTGTCTCGCAGTTTATATCCTCCTTCACAAACAAATTCACAGGTAGATCGGTAGCTGAATTGGCCCATTGGATGATTACACCGCATTTGACCTTCCTGTGGTTTGATCAGCTCTGGACATTGAACAACTGCGAAAAGATTCACAGACATAAAAAGTTAAAAAAAAAAAAATAATAATTTTAGCAGTTTTGAACAGGATCTGTAAATGTTCTCTAATGTAAATTAAACTCACGTTCACAGGTTGGTGGTTTGCTTGACCACTCTGTTGTAGAAGTGCATCTTGTTGTACTGGAGCCCTTTAGTTCATAACCCTCCTCACAGGAGTATTCACACTGAGACTCATATGAGAAATCAGTCGGATCAGAGCACTGGACGCTAGCATGATCTGGTGGCGTGACGTCCTCCGGTTTGCATTTTACAACTGAAATACAAAAAAGGACCATGATTAAATGCGTATGCCTATAGTTTCAAAGAACTAAGAACAGATCTGCAGCTAAACATTATGTAAAAACATGACCCTTCTTACTTTCACAAGTGGGTTGTGAATCATTCCATTGTCCCGCTGCTCCACAGGACAGTGTCGAGGAGCTGTTGTCTCGCAGTTTATATCGTCCTTCACAAACAAACTCACAGGTAGATCGGTAGCTGAATTGGCCCATCGGATGATTACACTGCATTTGACCTTCCTGTGGTTCAATCAGTTCTGGACATTGAACAACTGCAAAAAGATTCAGAGACATTTAACAATTTTTTTTTTTTTTTTTTTTTTTTGCAGTTTTGAACAGGATCTGTAAATGTTCTCTGGTGTAAATTAAACTCACGTTCACAGGTTGGTGGTTTGCTTGTCCACTCTGTTGTAGAAGTGCATCTTGTTGTACTGGAGCCCTTTAGTTCATAACCCTCCTCACAGGAGTATTCACACTGAGACTCATATGAGAAATCAGTCGGATCAGAGCACTGGACGCTAGCATGATCTGGTGGCGTGATGTCCTCCGGTTTGCATTTTACAACTGAAATACAAAAAAGGACCATGATTAAACTCTTATGCCTATAGTTTCAAAGAACTAAGAACAGATCTGCAACTAAACATTATGTAAAAACATGACCCTTCTTACTTTCACAAGTGGGTTGTGAATCATTCCATTGTCCCGTTGCTCTACAGAACAGTGTCGAGGAGCTGTTGTCTCGCAGCTTATATCCTCCTTCACATTCAAACTCACAGGTAGATCGGTAGCTGAATTGGCCCATCGGATGATTACACTGCATTTGACCTTCCTGTGGTTCAATCAGTTCTGGACATTGAACAACTGCAAAAAGATTCACAAACATTTAAAAAACAATTTTTTTTTGCAGTTTTGAAAAGGATCTGTAAATGTTCTCTAGTGTAAATTAAACTCACGTTCACAGGTTGGTGGTTTGCTTGACCACTCTGTTGTAGAAGTGCATCTTGTTGTACTGGAGCCCTTTAGTTCATAACCCTCCTCACAAGAGTATTCACACTGAGACTCATATGAGAAATCAGTCGGATCAGAGCACTGGACGCTAGCATGATCTGGTGGCGTGACGTCCTCCGGTTTGCATTTTACAACTGAAATACAAAAAAGGACCATGATTAAATGCGTATGCCTATAGTTTCAAAGAACTAAGAACAGATCTGCAGCTAAACATTATGTAAAAACATGACCCTTCTTACTTTCACAAGTGGGTTGTGAATCATTCCATTGTCCCGCTGCTCCACAGGACAGTGTCGAGGAGCTGTTGTCTCGCAGTTTATATCGTCCTTCACAAACAAACTCACAGGTAGATCGGTAGCTGAATTGGCCCATCGGATGATTACACTGCATTTGACCTTCCTGTGGTTCAATCAGTTCTGGACATTGAACAACTGCAAAAAGATTCAGAGACATTTAACAATTTTTTTTTTTTTGCAGTTTTGAACAGGATCTGTAAATGTTCTCTGGTGTAAATTAAACTCACGTTCACAGGTTGGTGGTTTGCTTGTCCACTCTGTTGTAGAAGTGCATCTTGTTGTACTGGAGCCCTTTAGTTCATAACCCTCCTCACAGGAGTATTCACACTGAGACTCATATGAGAAATCAGTCGGATCAGAGCACTGGACGCTAGCATGATCTGGTGGCGTGATGTCCTCCGGTTTGCATTTTACAACTGAAATACAAAAAAGGACCATGATTAAACTCTTATGCCTATAGTTTCAAAGAACTAAGAACAGATCTGCAACTAAACATTATGTAAAAACATGACCCTTCTTACTTTCACAAGTGGGTTGTGAATCATTCCATTGTCCCGTTGCTCTACAGAACAGTGTCGAGGAGCTGTTGTCTCGCAGCTTATATCCTCCTTCACATTCAAACTCACAGGTAGATCGGTAGCTGAATTGGCCCATCGGATGATTACACCGCATTTGACCTTCCTGTGGTTCAATCAGTTCTGGACATTGAACAACTGCAAAAAGATTCACAAACATTTAAAAAAAAATATTTTTTTTGCAGTTTTGAAAAGGATCTGTAAATGTTCTCTAGTGTAAATTAAACTCACGTTCACAGGTTGGTGGTTTGCTTGACCACTCTGTTGTAGAAGTGCATCTTGTTGTACTGGAGCCCTTTAGTTCATAACCCTCCTCACAAGAGTATTCACACTGAGACTCATATGAGAAATCAGTCGGATCAGAGCACTGGACGCTAGCATGATCTGGTGGCGTGACGTCCTCCGGTTTGCATTTTACAACTGAAATACAAAAAAGGACCATGATTAAATGCGTATGCCTATAGTTTCAAAGAACTAAGAACAGATCTGCAGCTAAACATTATGTAAAAACATGACCCTTCTTACTTTCACAAGTGGGTTGTGAATCATTCCATTGTCCCGCTGCTCCACAGGACAGTGTCGAGGAGCTGTTGTCTCGCAGTTTATATCGTCCTTCACAAACAAACTCACAGGTAGATCGGTAGCTGAATTGGCCCATCGGATGATTACACTGCATTTGACCTTCCTGTGGTTCAATCAGTTCTGGACATTGAACAACTGCAAAAAGATTCAGAGACATTTAACAATTTTTTTTTTTTTTTTTTTTTTTTTTTTTTTTGCAGTTTTGAACAGGATCTGTAAATGTTCTCTGGTGTAAATTAAACTCACGTTCACAGGTTGGTGGTTTGCTTGTCCACTCTGTTGTAGAAGTGCATCTTGTTGTACTGGAGCCCTTTAGTTCATAACCCTCCTCACAGGAGTATTCACACTGAGACTCATATGAGAAATCAGTCGGATCAGAGCACTGGACGCTAGCATGATCTGGTGGCGTGATGTCCCCCGGTTTGCATTTTACAACTGAAATACAAAAAAGGACCATGATTAAACTCTTATGCCTATAGTTTCAAAGAACTAAGAACAGATCTGCAACTAAACATTATGTAAAAACATGACCCTTCTTACTTTCACAAGTGGGTTGTGAATCATTCCATTGTCCCGTTGCTCCACAGGACAGTGTTGAGGAGCTGTTGTCTCGCAGTTTATATCCTTCTTCACAAACAAACTCACAGGTAGATCGGTAGCTGAATTGGCCCATCGGATGATTACACTGCATTTGACCTTCCTGTGGTTTGATCAGCTCTGGACATTGAACAACTGCGAAAGATTCACAGACATTAATTTATTTTTATTTTTATTTATTTTTTTGCAGTTTTGAACAGGATCTGTAAATGTTCTCTAATGTAAATTAAACTCACGTTCACAGGTTGGTGGTTTGCTTGACCACTCTGTTGTAGAAGTGCATCTTGTTGTACTGGAGCCCTTTAGTTCATAACCCTCCTCACAGGAGTATTCACACTGAGAGTTATATGAGAAATCAGTCAGATCAGAGCACTGGACGCTAGCATGATCTGGTGGTGTGACGTCCTCCGGTTTGCATTTTACAACTGAAAAACAAAAAAAGGACCATAAACTCTTATGCCTATAGTTTGAAAGAACTGAGAACAGATCTGCAACTAAACATTATGTAAAAACATGACCCTTCTTACTTTCACAAGTGGGTTGTGAATCATTCCATTGTCCCGTTGCTCCACAGGACAGTGTCGAGGAGCTGTTGTCTCGCAGCTTATATCCTCCTTCACATACAAACTCACAGGTAGATCGGTAGCTGAATTGGCCCATCGGATGATTACACTGCATTTGACCTTCCTGTGGTTTGATCAGCTCTGGACATTGAACAACTGTGAAAAGATTCATAGACATTTAAAAAAAACAACAACTTTTTTTTTACAGTTTTGAACAGGATCTGTAAATGTTCTCTGGTGTAAATTAAACTCACATTCACAGGTTGGTGGTTTGCTTGACCACTCTGTTGTAGAAGTGCATCTTGTTGTACTGGAGCCCTTTAGTTCATAACCCTCCTCACAGGAGTATTCACACTGAGACTCATATGAGAAATTTCCTTTGGGATGAAAGCACTGGACACTAGCATGACCTGCTGGTGTGACTTCATTTGGTTTGCATTTTACAACTGAGAAGCAGAAAAAAGTAAAATAATTACATTTCACTTTTCAATGTCAACACAGATACAGTCAGCAGTATGTAGAGAATTATTACCCACCATGTTCACATCGTTCTCCATAGAATCCTTTAAAGCATGAGCATGTATGACTGTTTATGGTTTCTACACATTCTCCTTGACCACTGACACAAGAGTCATCCGTGCAGGACGCTGAGGGAGAAAAAGTGCATAACTATTCATTGATAGTGGCATTTTTAAAACAAAAACAGCAGAATGACTCTTCTTTTTTCATTCCAATTGAAAATACTTTGGTTAGAAGATCTGACAACACCTTATAAACACATAAATGCTACCTACCCGTGTAGCACAGTGCAGTCTTCATCTTTAAGCAGGATTCATCATTCCATTTGCCTTCATCTTTCGTTCTTTTAATATATATTTCAACACAGTCTTCATTATTCCTTCCGTTATTGGGCTCCTTATCTGCCCAGTTCTCAGCTTCCTTGTTAAGTGTCTTGTTAGTTCCCACCCAGGTCCACCTGTCATCAATTTTACGAATGCCAATCCAGTAATATCCATCAACTTTTGGAAAAATGTTGTTGAGGTGAGAAATCTCCCCTTTGTTCTGGATGGCCACCATGTCAGTATATTTCTCCCTGCACCACTGTCTGGCATGTTCCCAGTTCATTTTGTAGTTGGAGGAATTGTATGACCAGCCTTCAGTGCCTCTCCATATGTTTAGCACTGCAAAATTAAGCCATTGCAACTTTGAATTAACTATGTTTACAGGTTGTATTTACTCAGTAGAGTTTACACACTAGAATGGTTTACTTTCTTACCTGAAGAAATAAGAACAAGGGAAGCAAAAAAGTGCAAAGGCACTTTGACGCAAACGGCCTGCAGAATTAAAGAACTATATCAATTGGATGAACATAATATTAATCGATACTAAAATAAATTTAGTTATGTATTATTATTTTATTTTAAATGCCTTCCTTACCATTGTCAGTGATGTACAGATATTAAATGGTCCTGTTGACTGGGTCTTCTGATTTGAAATTCTAGACTGGGAATCTCTAGGTTGGGGTATTTATATAGGAGCTCAGCTATGGTTCAGGACTTCCCTTCCCGGATCCACTAGTAAAGTCAGCCAGTAAAAGCAATGGAATTCTTGTCTCTGGAAATACCCCTCTCCAACACTGATCAAGTTCTCAAAGTAGTGAGAAGTGACCTCCCAGCCAGGAAATGTTGATGAGCTTTCAGACTAATACAGCAGGATGACTGTATATGAAGAGTTCAGATGCAAAAGCCTCTAAATGCCATTTGAAATTTTCTTCTTTAATGATGATTTTTATCAAACTTGTATATTTAAGTTCAGTAATTTCACTTAAATGGCAATTACTGAACTTAAATATACAAGTTTGATAAAAATCATCATTAAAGAAGAAAATTTCAAATGGCATTTAGAGGCTTTTGCATCTGAAATCTTCATATTTTTATATTTAGAAATGGAAGTAACACTTTCTTTTTATTTGACAAACTATTGCATAGTAATCTGACATTTCTCCTATGCATATTATCCATTTGTTTCAAATCAATCAACTGAATATAACATTTAAAGAACAATTATGAACTTTCGCTTTTTGGTGTGAAAAAGTCATCAGCAGGAAGATACTCAAATTTCCTGCATGTGAGTATCTTCAGCTCTGTTTATAAAGGAAAGAGAGAGACAATATGGGTTGAGAGGGGCATGACAGTAATTGTCATGTTACCAGTAATCTTTTGGCACCTTTAATGTTTCTTCCAGAAATAGTATTAATGGTAATTCTTATACACTACTCAGTGAAGAGAAGGCATAAATATGACATACAAATATAGGCTATATACATTTAAGGACAATGAATTAAGTCTTGACATTAAACAAAAGTAATAAGAACAGATGAATAACTTCTGAAGAAATTAAGTATTACAGAACTTCCATAAAATATTTACAATTCAATTTTAATTTAATTTCAATTTTTACAATTTAATTTAATTAAAAAGGAATCAGTGTGTGTGAGACAAATTTGTTCAAATAGGCAAATGTGTTGTTTACAAATTTTCTTTGTTTAAAAGCTGTTATTGTATAGGCTACAGCTCCCCAGAAGTTTCACGTTTTGAAGTTTGAGTTTCTTGTTAATTTCTGTGAGACCCTGACCCTTCTCGGATGCCACTCGGTTCAGTGAGTTTGCACAAGAGTTGTATCAGCTACCATTACAGAAATAGCTGTAATGAGGGCACCGGAAAAGACTAGTGCGAGCAAAGAACAGAAAAGTTAATAATTCGTGTCAAAATAATGTGATAACTTTATCTATTCTCTTCTAATATTAAATTCATACAAACTTATACATTTGAAAACAAATAAACACACTCAAATTGAGGATGATTGTTTTTATTGTTTTTTATTCACTTAAATAATCAATGTGCGTATTTATTGGTTACAAGGCTTATAGCTGGTCACACACGAGAATGAATTGGAAAGTAGAATTTATTAATTAAAATGTTTTAAACTATGTGTCAACTAACGGTACTGGACCTAGGCTATAGAACTTATTTTTCTTTTACTATTATGACAGCCTGTCAGGAAACATGGCACACATCCCAACAAAAACATCTGTTTAACACGTGATATTTACCTTTGCCTTGAAGTCTGTTTTCTTTTCGAACGTGCTCTTCGGTGACAGTTCTGTAGGCAGTGGGCCAAGTCCGTCTATCTCGTTTAATGCATAATTGCATTAAAAAAAAGTATCGTTTTGGCCAAATGTATTTGATAGCTAAATCAATAGCTTGACTAAATTGATAGCTAGGCATCAAAACCGAGGGACATGCAGCAATGAAACAACACATTAAATGGTCAATGGTTGTGATGAATTGATAATAATAAATCAATAAATATTTCCTTTAATTAATTTTTATTGGATTAACCTTTTTTATTATTAAGTCAGCTAATAGCCTACTTGCCTCTATATGAATATGGAAAAATATGCTATACACGAAGCACAGCATGCTATGTTGGCAGAGGGAAAGTCAGGTCAGAAAGGAAGGGGTGTCAAAGCGAGATAACGAGCACAGACGACGAACTAAAGTCTTTTTTTTTCTTCCACGTTTGACATAAACTGCATGTAAAACCAGATCTGCCACATAATATGTCGGAATTTATATTTATATTTTGTATTAATTTCACCATTCAGTAATTTCTGCTCCATACAAACTGTTAACCTTTTCTAAAAAGACATATAACGTTACTTTAAATGCTCTATATTTATTTATTTATTTATTTTTCTTCGTGTTATTTTGTTGTGTAAGTTACTTCCGGTTTGAAGTTTGTTGCGTGATGACTGCCAAATAGTCTGATCGCCTGCTGTCTGCAGTTGCCGTTGAAGATGGCAGACGCCCTGAGTAAAGTGCCCGATGTCGACATTGATCCAGAGGGGCAGTTTAAATACATATTAGTGAACATAAAGGTGAAAGGTGGAACTGAACATAAAGTGATAGTGAGGGGAACTAAAACGGCGGAGTACCACAGTAAGTGTGCACGGTGCACGCTAGTGCAACAGCTTGAATGTCTGTATGCAAGCCAGCAAGTTAACTATCCTTTTCAGACAGCTATTTATAAATCAGTTGGTAACATCCACTCTGTTCTTCTCTATTAATGGGCATTGAGGAAAAATATGTCCAGATAAAAATGTTGGTAACCTATAAATGATTAACCGGTAACATTGAATTGATTTGTGTGGATTGATTGAGATGATAATTTGTGAAGTTATATTAACAAGCTATATTAATGGTTAGTTTAATAAAAGTTGACTGGCTCACAAGACTTATCCTTATCCGTTTCAGGAGATCACAAAATAAAAATTATCTTAAGTAGTAGTATTGCTGGAATGATTTTGACTTTCTTCTCAATATTTGATATTTTCCTCATTATTTATTTTATTCAGTTCACATATTTGAAAAAGTGAATCCTGCAATGGAGGCCTTGGGACTGGAGTGTAATTGTCTTGGAGGTGGCAAGATTGAGCACAACAACACAGAAAAGAAACTACGGGTGTTTGGAGAGTCTACGGTAACACGTAACCATAATAACAACTACTTAAAATGTTGAGATAAATTAAGGTTACACAGGCACACGGAACAACTATAGTGTTTCGAGACACACATGGTAGAAGTAGGCCTACTATTCAGATACTAGTTAAAAAATAAGTGTAGTCTTCATTATGGGTATGAATATTTGGGGGGGCTTCCCTATATTTTCAAATAACCAGATGTTGCTTTTAAGCTTTCGTTTAGAGATGGTCTCACATATCTTTTCTTTTTCTAGGGATATGGGAAGGCTGACCATGCTGTCACGGTGGAAAAGCTAAAATCTGTCTTTAAAGACTATGAAATCACTATGGAATAGAAGACTCAAATCCATGGCCATGAACCTTTAGTGAAAATTTAACATTTTTATCACTCTTCAGCTATAACAAATTTTTATTTGGATGCAAATTAAATAATTGTTCACTACAGTGTCCTAAATTGAACTTAAATGATTGACCTTGACATTGAGGTTTAACCTGCACAGGAACTCTGCAATGCTTTGCACAGCGATAAACATATCCTGTCTCCTGCCTCTGTCATGGAATGTGTCGGTTTAGAGATCAGGGACAGATAAAAGAGCATCTGTATTATTCATGGATTGTATGTATAATCAGACTGATCTCATTGGTATAATTAACAGTGAGAAATCTACCATTGAGAGACAAGCATACATATTTGGTCAAAAGCATTTCACAGAACCTATGTTTTCACCATTACAATTAAATTGTAAAAAGACCCATTATTTTGCAAAGCATACATTTTTATAGTTAAATATGTAATTTTCAGTGGAACCCTTTCAATTGATCCCTTACAATGTCATGTGTATTGTGCATAAGGGATTTTTCCATCCTGTTTCTGAAGTCAAAACTTTAACCAATTTCCTGTATCCTGAGACCCTGAATAAACGAATATGAAGTCACCAGACTGGATTTCTTTTACAGTCAATAGTGTATTATTGGTTCTAGTAAAGTTATCTTAACAGGTGCCACCAGTGTTATGTGATTTGTTTAAGCAATGGCCTTTTCAAAAATGTTATATAATTTTGAAATAATTTTTAGTACAGTGTCAGTGCCTGTGCATTGTTGTAGTAATTAATTTTAATTCAAGGTAAATATTGTTTTGTATTTGTAAAAAAAAAAAAAAAATGTAGGAAGGCTGAACAAGGTAACGTGCTGTGATGTACTGTGTTTTATTTTCCTTGTGAAATTTCCGTCTTCCTGTGACACGTTTGGAGTCTGGATTGAACATAATGACTGCTGTATTTGGAAGTTCCTGTAGATGTTATCTCCATCATGGCCTTAATATGCTTTTGTTTCCCTTAGCACATGCTTGGTGCACGTTTTCGCGCTTACCGTCAAGGATGTTAAAAAAATAGAAAGTGTCACTTTCAAGTAGAGAGGTGTGGCGAACAGAATATTGGCAGCCAAAATACATTGTCCAGACAATAACAGTGTTTTCTGGTAATTTCTTTGATGCGTGTAACCAGCTCACTGTTCCTGCCTTCACTTAAAGGACCCACTGGAGAATTTAAATCAATCTGTGTACTGTAGTCAATCAGTCAATCTGTCTTAATCACAAATAATAAAAATATAATTATGAAGAAGTTGAAAAGTAACTTGTGGTGGAGATAAGAGCTCAGAAATTAACAATATAAGAAATATTAATAATAGCACCAAAAAATACTATGCAAATACTACACCAAATACTGTACATTTCAAAATAGTTACAAGAAAGAGTGGTCTTCTCATTTTATTTTTGAGATTATATATAAATATATTGTCATTATATTTTTTAACATGCTTTAAGACAAACCATGTGCAAATTCAAAAGTCAACACGACTGCACAGTTTTTTCTATAAAACTGCAGTGAACCAAATACAGTCTCAAAAATGCAGCTTGGATTTGCCAGTGGTTCTTATGTAATATGTGGGCTTTGGCATATCATTAACTATGCTATTTGGATTATCAAGAGAAGCCAGG